TGGATCTGCTGATGCTGTGCACAGTCAGGCCTGTCCCCCTGCAGCTGATGGAAATGTGTTCCTGGATACTCAAGGGGAAACTTCTTTGAATCTCAGCTGGGTCGATAGATGGATTCCTTGTTCTAGCAGTTGATTTATAAGCGCTCTGACTTGGGTTGTGTCACTACAGCATTGCAGAGACAGTGGTGGTGTTTATGTTTTACATTTCACTGCCAAATGGCTACTTAGTCTAATACTAAATGTAACTTCTGTTGGCTCTTTCGAATCATGATGTTCCACCATTCCTCCAATATATGCTATTTGGGAGGTTTTTTTATCCACTATAGCATGTAGCAAAAAAGTATCCCTTGTCTCTGTAGTACTAAATATTTTGATTTTTGCATTAAAACATTTGTTTAAATTATTGATGGTTCAAAGAAAAAATGCTTTTCTGTTTTGAAGTACAGTAAGGCCTTTCTTGACTGGAGTAACCAATATCATGGTCAGATGAATATTCTAACCAGCAGAAAAGTGTCCTAAGGTATTTTGTTGTTCTCCTCCAGTTCCTTACTTTCATTATGACTGGGAGTAATGGATATCAGAATACCTTTTTCTGTTTTCTAAGCTGCAGAAAAAATTCTGATCTACTTTTAGAGCACTTTGAGATCTATGAATACAGGTTTTATAAGTGCCTACTGATGTTACTAGTTTAAGTATAATAATAATAATAATAATACAGCTCGCACTGATTACCAAAGCCATAATGAAATGAATAGCAAAAAGAGCTTTCCATTGGTGCATTTCTAATTACTATTTATGTAATTAGTTAGTATTGCTAGACTTTATCTGTTTCTTGGTTTTAAGAAGTGATGATTACGTGCTTGTTATGGTCCACTCAGTTGCATGTAAATGCATAGCTTTGTAAGAAAAGAGACAATTCCTCTTTTATTATTATAAAACATTTATAGTAGCACACAATTGCTGTAACAGTGTCATCTAGTACCTGACATAAAGAATGTCCTGACAGTTTGAGGAGAAAACAGCATCACCTCTTCAGAAATTTTCCCTTAAATTTAAGTCCTGCCAATTCTTCCTGACTTTCCCCTGTCTCCTTTCATACAGTGCAAGTGGGTCAGAAAGAAAATGCCTCCTTTCATGTCAGTTCAGATGTTTTGATTGCTGTGTAACAAGCACTTCCATTTATCAAGTTTAAAAATTATTTTCTGGAAAATTATGTCTTCATTTTTAGCCCCATTCTGGTGGAAGTAATTACTGGCTTTCTTATTTGACCAGTTAACTTTGTGTCATTTAGCATTAAAATTTGGTGAATTTTCCACTGTAATCAACAATACTATTTACCATTGCTATTTCTTACTTTTATCATCCTTACTCTGCCCTTTGAGGATACTGCCTGGAGAAAGGAGTCATACAAATGGCTCCTATATCTAAAGATAACAGAGACTGCTTTGTATTTGTTTCCTTCTACAGCAGTTTTGTAACTACAGGCTTGTAAGGTGCCAAGGGAGAGAAGTTCTCCTCTTCTGCTGGGTAACCCTGAGCAGCTTGGCTTCTGAGCATCTTGTATCTCTTGCTTCCCGAGAGCCATGATTGTAGCCTCCGTCTTTCACCGATGCCAAACCTGTGGGCTGGGGTGGCAGCATATCCAGTAACATTCCCCCAGTGCTTTTTAAACTGAATGCGATATAGACGAGACCTTATCAGGGCTTTCATTTGGCACCGCAATAGAGCAGTAATTCAGGAATGTGAATTTAAATATTTGCTCCATTTTGCTACTGAGTTATCGTAGAGGAATTTACAACTACTCTTTACCCAGTGTAGAGATTCCAGCCTGAGAAGTGGCTAACGCCTCCCCCGCCAATATATCAAGATCCTTTCAGCTTTGCTTACAAGAACAAGTTGAAAATGTGTGTTTCCATTGCCGTAGTTATCATTTTCACCAAATAATGTGAGAGAGAAGGTCAGGAGCTTAAATATTCATCATGATGCTTTTCCTGCTTAAAAGCATGAGTCTAAATTATTTTCTCTTTTTTCCTTCCAGCATAGAAATGTGTTATGAAAATCAGTCCTCAAAACATACGCTCAAAAACTTAGCATTGCAATGCTGCTTTAAAACTAATTTGTGACCTTTCTGTTCTGTTTTGAATAGACTGGTGTATGGACCACACTTGCCAAGATTGAGGAAAATTTTTTAAAGCCACTGCACGTAGGACTCAATATGTCAAAAGCGCACTATGAAGCAGAGATAAAGAACAAGAAAGAAAACAGAAGAGGTTGGTTCTTTACTTTTTTTCTTAGCTTTGTTCATATTTAGAAGCTTTGGAAACAAAGAATTGGTGAGTTTTATAGATCGCGTTTTATTTAACTGTTGACACAATTCCGAATTTCAAATAATTAAGTAAATTGCTATATGTGATAATAATAATTTTCATAGTTGGTCAGAAAAATCTGAAGTTGTTTATCTCTCAACACATTTGTACATCTTATTGAAAACTGATAGAAATATCACATGAAATCCTTCAAAGCTTGTTCTGCATTTATACTTTTGTTTTTAAGGTTAGACAGGAGCATCTAAGTCTCTCTGAATATATAGCCCTTAGGTTTCTTACTAGGTGGGGTGAGGTTAACAAGAGAAGTAATTCACACAGCACCTAGGTGCTCTCTCTAAAGCCTGAAGGATTACAATCTTGATACATTTTTCTTAATTTTTTTTTTTTAATCTGACACACAGAATCAGGTTCTGCTCTGGGTCAAGCAGACACATTCCACAGGGCATAAAAGCTGTAGGTGCTTTAGGCAATCTCTATGTACGCCAGATCCTCTTGTTTCTTTGTGGTCTCCACATTAAGACAGCCTAAGGAACTTTCTTCTGCTACCAAAAATGTCAGTGCAGCTTTTTACTCCTAGTCCTACCCTATTCTGTTGTTTTAAACTAAGTAGGTATGAGGCAGAGAAGGGGAATTTTTCTGAAGGCAACCTGTGGATATCTTTATAAAGGGGATCCTTTAAAATCAACTCTGAAACAAATTCTTATAAGTCCCTCTTATATTTCTCTAACTTTTAATAAAGCATAAAAGAGATCTGAGTTTGGGAGAGAACACCTAACTCATCACAGTAAATGCTTTAGCCTTTTTCTTCAATGTATAATTTTTGTAAGCATTATGTTGAATTTCAAATATGTGGTCTGCACGCAAGAGGTTTTCCCCTTGGTTTTCAGACTTTTCCTTATAGTTTTGCCAGCTGCAAGTAATCTGCGTAAAACAGAAAAGCCTGCAGCCTTTTCTTAATAAGTATTTCATGTCTGTATTCATTAAGTCAAGCTAAAGAACCTTCTGCTGTGTCTCTAGATGTGGAAATACTTGAAACTTATCAAAAAATGACGAGATGTAATTTTTCTTTTAGGGAGCATTTTAGCTCTATAAAATTGTTTTGCATTGCAGATACTGGCTGTTTAGTAGTGTAGTCATACGTGTTATACAAAGTGGAGGGCGAGCATCCAGCTTAAACTATCTCCCTCTTCAGGTTTAGCACCTATAGTCAACGTTTGGTCAATGCCTAGGTTTTGGGGTTTTAGCAATTACTGTCTAGAATTGTTAATATATTAACTTTTGGAATTAAAAGAATATTTATGTGAAACAGCAGCCTGAGCTCTGGTTGGTTATTTTCTTCTGCAGAGGCACACAGTTCTAACAAAGTTTGTTCTGTAACTGTTAGTGGGGAAAAGATGCCCGCCATGACTACAGAAATGCAGCTTCAGGTGAGTTTGCGTTTCCTTCAAGGTCATTCAGACGTACTGAAATTTTCTTTTCAATCTGGAGACAAATGTACATGTAAAGTGGGCAAAAAAATTTCTTCTAATAAAAATAACATTAATCTCTTTTGTCATTTCAGGTTTTACACTCGGCTCTCTTCACATTTGATTTAATAGAAAGTGTTCTAGCTCGAGTAGAAGAACTCATTGAAGTGAAAGTAAAAACTGCAATGGATGAGAATAGTTAGGTCAGATGAAGTATTTGAATTAAGATACTACGTAAGAGATCATTCTGACTTTGAGACTTTAGTTGAAAAGGAGACTACCAACCTTGGAAGAAGAGCAATTTAGAGTGGCCTCTAGAAGAATTGTAGATGCTGCTCTTCATGAGTCTTGTTGCTGTTCTTTTATTTTCTTTCGCTATTGTATGAGATTCACAGAGATGGCCTATTTACTAAAGTACTCTTCAGAATTTGATGCTTTTGAGTTTAGAAACTATAAAAGAAGGGTTTGGTTGTTCCTTTTGTTCTTATGCTGTGGCAAGGAGGTATGGCTGTGCATTTATTTTTCTGTAAATTTTCAACATTTGTTACGTAATAGTTGCTGACCGGTGGTGTGAATTACAAAGATGTTTATGAAGTGACTGGAGAACCATTAATTAGGAAATACTGTTTAAGCTCAAGGTATTTTTATTAGAACTTTTTAATGTTGAGAAACAAGCTTCTCTATTTACAAAGATACAGAAAGTTTATAGTAGAAACACTCTGGCTAACGAAACCAGGTTTAAAGAAAAACACATCAACTTTGAACCAAGACATTAAAACTTAGTAACGCAACAGGTAACGCTTTTGTTTAAGATTCCATACATACCTGTTTCTACACAGGAAATTTATATTTTGGAATTGTTTTGATCATCCTTATTTTTAATGATCAACTTTTCCTTAAGCTATATTAAATATTTGGGGAAATTATTATAAACAGATGAGCTCCTAAGTTCAAAATCAAGCTAAAAATAAGAATGGCTTGGCTTTTCTATAGTGCAGTTGAACCATTTTTTAGGAAAATTTTCTTAAAATGCACATGTATGGTATAATGTATGCTATTTTTCACTGTACAGTTATTTAATACAAATTTCCATTCCAAATGCATAAGTTGTATATAGTCTTTTGAAATGTAACTGTATTTTTAAGAATATCCTATATTGTTTAAGATGTAGCCACTCTATTTATGAATAAAAACCCCAGATACTAAATTAACCACAACGCAACTGGTACTCCTGAAGCATCTTCCAAACTGGACTGTTTTCTATTATTTGGGCTTTTGTCATTGCCATTTTAGAACGAATGTCATCTGCTTGTGGCTTGGAAGTTATCTGAGAGGAAAGAAAAATATTATGAGTAGGACACAGTAATTCCTGAGTAACAGAATACTTAACATCTTATTTTTTAAATAGTACAAATGTAAAATTATGCAGCAGTGAAATCCGAATCATGTTCTTCTGAAATATATACTCAGGAGAGCTGTACAGAGAGGTGATCTGATGTATTCCTTCAGGTGCAAGACTAGTTCTACAATAACCAGCCCTTTCAGCAGTGCATCTGATTATCTGGATAATATTTCAACAGGAGTTGGGTATGGTAGCTCAGGAGAAGTTGGATGGGATTGCTTCCATGGCCACATCTGTTAACCAGGGGCAAAAAAGTTAATTTTTTAGGTCCTATACCAGTGAGAGATTCTCTGGCAAAAGATGAGCTCATTAAACTGTCTTTGCACTGTGTCAATAAGAAATAACATAATGGCAACCAATAGCTTTATGATACATGCTGTCATCACTTCTCAGGGGCCTCTCCTCTTGAAGTTTGGTGTAAACATTCTGAACAAATAGAAACGCAAGTTCAGGTCTATAGGATCAGCAGTAATCTTAAAAGCTTTTGGGTTAATGCTGTATTAAGAGACTGAGCCAGACATCAGTAGGTTCTACAAAAACATTTTAAGTACGAGCAAAGATGTAGCTTACATACTTTTATTGATACTCCGAATAGGTTAATGCTTATTATTTTGAGATAACCAGTTAAGGAAAGCATAGAATGTAAATTCATATCTGATTCCTGACATGTCAGTCAACCTCCTCTTTTTATTTTTGGTACATGAGATGTTGCTACCGCTGTTAGAGTTAGTATCTAAGTTTGAATTTTCATGGAAAAATGTTCTTTAAAGAGATTCACTACATAGATTTCATTAATAATGTGTTAGTGCACACAGGATATATTGCAGATACACAGATAAATCACATGAATCTGTAGGAATAATATATGATGTGCATCATTTAAAATCCACAAGTAACTACAGTTTGCAGATTGGCATTTTTACTTGAAGTTGAAATCATTACGTATTTAAATCTCATGCTGGTTCTGCCCTAGTAAATTAAGACATCCTAATTTAACAGTGGTAAATAAAGGCTGAATTAGCTCTTACATTTCTAATTTCTCTTCACAAGTGCAATTAAGAGCTTTTAAAGTTATCTTTAACAGTAGTTTAAAGACTCAGACCATTACTCAGAGTAACTGTCATGCCTGTATTACACAGATTGTAGTCAGTATGGCACCAAAAGATCCATTACAGAAGAATAACAATTTTATAGTTCTTGGCTTTTCCTAGCTAATATACCTCTGAGGAACTAATATTTTTAAGTATATGCCACCAGACTTACCTTAGCTATAGTTAGCATTAACTTAACAGTTTCAGCAGTATTATGAACTGGTATTATACGTAAATTACTGCCCAGGAATCTGCACATGAAAATAAATTAAGGTCAAGGTTACTTTTAGAATGCACATTTCATTTGTTATGCTCTAGAATTCGAAAAGCGTTCCCACATGATGTAAACAACTTCTTACTGTGCCTTCACCACAAGTACACAGAAGATTGCTTTTATCTTTCAAGGCAATGGAGAGTTCATGCTGTTTGCAAAGCCATCTGTCCCATTTCTGTACCGCTTGTTTTTGTGGGATTTGGAAGGGCTCATTTATTTTTCCAGGGCTCTTCGACAATCAATCAACACTTCTTAACCGTGTGTACATTCAGAGAGAACTAAGCCCTCTTCTGCTATAGTGTTGAAGACTGCCCATTGTCCACGGCAGTAAAAAAATGTTCAGGGGTTTTTCTTTATGGCTTGGAATTACACAGGAAAATATCTAAAAGCACTGTGCTAAAAATACTTCAGAATTTGAACTAAATCTTTGTAGCGTACAGATCGCTATATTTAGATAGTACACCAGATGCAATTAAGATAATGGGATAAGTCTGCTAAGAATTTAAGATAAGACTTGTTCATTCAAATAATTTAACCTAAAATTAATTCTTTTTCTATGAATAATGCTATTCATATGCATTCATTCTTAAGAATGGAATCTGAAGATTTAAACACTAGCATGAGTTGTCATTCAGTGCCGTCATGGAAGAGAGAGATGAAAGCTCACGCAAGCACAGAGTGACTCCTTAAGACTTGCGCCTCAGTGGATTGTAGCATCGACAACAAATTTAGCATTGCTGCCATTTTCTGTGGTAGAGCTAAAACATGATAGGGACTTGAAAACAAAGAATGAGGAATTTTAAATAATTAGAAATTTAATCCAAACAAAGTGGTCAGCTGCTCAATCGTGTACTCCCCTGTGGCCTCCCTGTGTGACTGCCACCTGCTCCTCCCCTCAGGCGGTCTGATGACTTGGACTCATTCACATTACGACCTGTGCCAGTCAGACACCCCCTCAGAGCTTGGCTGCCCAGTCTGCTAATCAGGAAAAATAAACATTATAGGCAGTGTCCTTCCCTAAGTGTATGTACTCGAGTGACTGTAGAGTTTTGCTAAAACCTGATATAGAAACTGGCTTAATTTACATTTAGGGATTAGGGAAATAAATAAATGCAACTTTGATGCAACTTTGCAAATGCTGTCAATGGGGTACGCAAAGCATGAACAAGCAAACTGCGAAGAAGAAACAAGTACATGTACTTACCTAGATCCATGGAAATCTACTTCTGTCAACAGTTTTGCTTCCAATTACAGCAGGTCTAAATGGAGTTTGTATTTTACTAATTTGATCAATGGGCAGAATGCTGGCCCTTAGAACACATAGCTGGTGTTTGGTCCAAGGTGATTAAAAATTAACGTAGAGATTTACTGAGGATATTAGTGGAATGCTCATTTGAGCTGTGATGATGAAGATTGCTTTCCTCCCACTTCCCCCACCATATACATGTTACCAGCTTTTAAAATCTTTTTTTTTTTTCCAATTTACTTGGAATGGGGTCTGTTACACAGAGCCAACACATGTGTTACGTTGTTGAACAACAACCCTATGATGTTCTTGTTAATAATAAAAAAACCCCCGATTGCAACAAAAGCATAGATAAACAAAAAGAAACAGTACAGCAAGACCTGAAAATACCAGGGCACTTTAATCCAACAGGTAACTTGTAGTTTGAGAGAATGTAACACAACTTTCAACCCCATCAATGCAAAATCTCAGTCAGTGATTTACATACAATAGCAGAACTCCAAGGTGGCAGGTATTAAAAAAGAACATGCATCTAAAATATAATGATGTCTTGTCAACACCAATGTGTTATGGCCTGCAATGATAAAACTAGTATTTTTCTTTTAAGAAAATTACTGACTTGCCAAATGGAATAGTTTCAAAACTTCACATTTGTAGTGATCAACAAAATCCATTGTACATAACCATGAAGTAGACTGAGAATTAGCATTGCCGTCAGCCGAATAACATGTTTTTGCTGAATGGTGGCAGATCTTTTAAGACCTCTCATGAAAATGGATGGAATTTTCACAAATGGGTAATAGATTTCTTGTATTTCATCCCATAAACTCTGCTACTCGTCAGCTTTTGGCAGTGTGCCCAGGATTTAATAAAACCGGTGGTAGTTTCAAGGAGGTAAAGATCAAAGACTCTATTAGAATAGTCGCTTCTTTGATGTCAAGAGTGAAAATCAACTGCAGTTAGGACTGCTGTACCTACCAGAAAATAGTTTTGACTACAATTAGGGAGCACAATCTGGTAACTGTTGTTAGCATGAATGTACTGAAACATGCAAGTTTACAGGCTTCATTAGAAATCACAGGTAAAGTTTTAAACAAACCAGTTTTAATGACCAGTTTTATACTTTTGGTGTAAAACAGCATTGATGACTTCCATTCCTTTGGCTCTGTATAACAGACACCGTTCTAAGTAAACAGATTGTAAAGGCTGGCCAAGATTCTGTACTTTACAATAAAGCCTTTTCTCATGAAGGAAACTCGCCTGTTGAAAATCGCCACGAAAAGAAGATGCTGACAGAGCTAAGAAAAATTCCTAATTTTCCAGTTGTCTTGGGTTACAATATGTAACCAA